CATCATCACCACCATCATCACATCCCCACCACCATCATTACCATCACCACATCCCCACCAACATCATTACCATCACCACATCCCCACCAACATCATTACCACCATCACCACATCACCTCCATCGATACCACCATCACTACATCACCACCACCATCATCACATCCCCACCACCATCATTACCATCACCACATCCCCACCAACATCGTTACCACCATCACATCACCACCATCATTACCACCATCACATCACCACTACCATCATTACCACCATCACCACCACTACCCTTATGACCACATCACTGCTACCAGTGGCCCTAGCCCCACCTCATTATCTCTGCTCCAATCACCCCAGTCACCATCACTTTCATCACCAGGATCCCCGCCTCCCTTACTATTATACCATCCATTATCATACTTACCACTGCAATTGATTTGTCATTGTCACCATCATCAGTGTAGGAAGTGATTACATGGGTTCCAGCAATGGTTAATGGTCACTGAAGCCCCAATTAAGATGGGTAGGTCATCTGAAGTCACTCAATGGGGGGCAAAAGAGTAAATGGTCTAAAGTATAAGAAGTCCGTATTGCAAGCAATCTCAAATTGTTTGCTTCAGGAATGCATTTTTCCTGAAACTTTCAATAATCCTAGTAATAATTCCAATTAAGGAATTTTCTTTTTTTCTTTCTTTCTTTCTTTTTTTTTTGAGACGGAGTCTTATGCTGTAGCCCAGGCTGGAGTGCAGTGGTGCCATCTTGGCTCACTGCAACCTCCACCTCCCAGGTCCCTGTTGAAGCAATTCTCTTGCCTCAGCCTCCTGAGTAGCTGGAATTACAGGCAAGCACCACCATTCCCAGCTAATTTTTGTATTTTTAGTAGAGACGGGGATTTCACGAGGTTGGCCAGGCTGATCTCGAACTCCTGACCTCCAGTGATCCTCCTGCCTTGGCCTCCCAAAGTGCTGGGATTACAAGCATGAGGCACTGTGCCTGGCCAGGAGTTGTTATTTTTCCATTGCACAAGGCTCTTCACCATCCAGTTTGGTATAAATAAAGGTCTCTACCTTGGCCTCTAAGCTCAGGTTAGAATTCCCAGGTTGGAGGGGTGGGAGGATGGTTACAATCCAATCAAAGCCAGCTCTTACCTGGTGACTCAGAGTTGATCTATCTATCCTCTGGTAAGACTCAGCATTTCATACCTGCCTGTCCAGCTCCATCATCAACCATCATGCTCACTGTCACCATCATTCCTCAATGACATCAGAGAAGAGAGCTTCCATATGGGATAAGGCCAGAGAATAAGATGGAGCCAGGGTAAAATTAATGCCAAATTATTCTCTGTAGAAAGGTACTGCATATTTATTTATTTATTTATGTATTTATTTGAGACGGAGTTTCGCCCTTGTTACCCAGGGTGGAGGGTAATTGTGTGATCTCAGTTCACTGCAACTTCCGCCTCCTGGGTTCAAGCGATTCTCCTGCCTCAGCCTCCTGAGTAGCTGGGATTACAGGTGCTCACCACCATGTCTGGCTAATTTTTTGTATTTTTGGTAGAGACGGGGTTTCGCCATGTTGGCCAGGCTGGTCTCAAACCCCTGACCTCAGGTGATCCACCCGCCTCAGCCTCCCAAAGTGCTGGGATTACAGGTGTGAGCCACCATGGCCAGCCAGAACTGCAGATTTAGATTGAGTTTCCTAGGAGCCCATGTCAAGAGGGAGAGGTAAGCAGTATATGATTATCAGCTATTTCTGATATTAAAGCAGGAGAGAAATTCCCATTGTGAAATATAAGGCGTCACAGACAATGGCTGAGGTTGGTCTCCTTGACTGTCTTGTCTGGCTGTGGAAAAACTTCAGTGTACTACCCTGTGGAGACACTGGATGGGACGTGGAGATCAGGTGACCAAAAAACTTACCTCTCTGGAGCTGCAAAGTGTTATGATATTTTATGCATTTTATATAAATAATACGATTACATAGTATTAAACGAGGGAGGAATCAACAGTGTGAGGTCACACATGAGTGAGGGTGAGAGGGGTGGAAGTGTCTCCTCTTGAGCTGGTCTTCAGGGAGCCCTGGGAATCCATTTGGTGAAAGAGGAGGAGGCCATGTTGTCCAAGGGACCACACTAGGGTGTGACATGCCGACGAGCTGATGTGTGCAGAGACCTGGAGGCAAGGGGGCATGTTGGGGAGGGCTCAGGGGTGGGCTGGGGGAGAGGAAGTGGTCCTAGGGAAGTCACAGGGGCCAAGCTAAGGAGCTGGACTTTCCCCCTTCTACTAGTAGAAGCTAGTGAAGAGTTTTAAACAGGGATGTGATCCTCTTAGACCTGTGTTTAAATGTTCACTGTGGCCAGTGTCAAGAATGGGTTGAAAGGGGTAGCTGAAGGCAGGGAGGGGTGGCTTATTTTAACCCTCCTATAAGCTCCCTAAGGGTAAGGACTGTGTCCGAGGCATCTGTGTACCCTCCAAAATGCTGAGGATGCACTAGAGACTCAACAAATGTCTCTTCTTGTTGTCAGCCCCTGTCACTGCCACCACCATTAGCTACCTCTTGCTTCCCATCACAGCCCTCACTCCATGACTGTCAGCACCCCCATTAACACACAACATGCCCGCCAGGCACGGTGGCTCACACCAGTAATTCCAGCACTTTGGGAGGCCAAGGTGGGCAGATCACCAGGTCCGGAGATCAAGACCATCCTGGCCAACAAGGTGAAACCCCATCTGTACTAAAAATACAAAAAAATTAGCTGGGCATGGTGGCGCATGCCTGTAGTCCGAGCTACTCGGGAAGATTAGGCAGGATAATTGCTTGAACCCAGGAGGCGGAGATTTCAGTGAGCCAAGATCATGCCACTGCACTACAGCCTGGGCGACAGTTCAAGACTCCATCTCAAAAATAAAAACAAAAACATGACACGTCATCGATTTCACTCCTTTCCCAGAGCTTTCTCAGGGAGCCCAGCCTGGAACAGACTGAGACATCACCAGCTCAGCAGCTTGGGTCAAAGGTGAGATTCCTGGTCTGGAGTCAGGGACCTGGTCCATTCTTCAGCTGTGCTGCTGAGTCATCGCGTGGCCCCAGCAGGTCCCCACCCTACCTTTAGTTTTCTGACCTGTTCAGAGTAGCAGCTAGATTAAACTAGTGGTTCTGGCCGGGCACGGTGGCTCACGCCTGTAATCCCAGCACTTTGGGAGGCCGAGGCGGGTGGATCACAAGGTCAAGAGATCGAGACCATCCTGGTCAACACGGTGAAACCCCGTCTCTACTAAAAATACAAAAAATTAGCTAGGCATGGTGGCGCGTGCCTGTAATCCCAGCTACTCAGGAGGTTGAGGCAGGAGAATTGCCTGAACCCAGGAGGCGGAGGTTGCGGTGAGCCGAGATCACGCCATTGCACTCCAGCCTGGGTAACAAGAGCAAAACTCCGTCTCAAAAAAAACAAACAAACAAAAAACTAGTGGTTCTGCCAGCCTGGTGTTTAGAGAATCAGATGGGAATAAACTGGATATTGATAGTTTCTGCTGTGCTTTTGCTTCAGGGACCATGATTGAGAATTGAGCGAGAGGGTCAGATTGAGCATTGAGTCTTAGGCATTGCAGGTACCTACGACAAGACCTTGGCAATGCCCCCCATTCCCTACCTCTCCAAAGGTAATGTTAGGCATTGTAGATGCCTATGGCAAGACCTTGGCAACGTGTCCCCCACCATTCCCTACCCCTCCAAAAGGTAATTTAGGAAGCTCCTGGCAATAGGAGAATGGGGCAGGCAGTTGGAACCATATGTATGGGGAGAGCCCCTGAGTGAAGTGAGAATGGGATGAGTCTGGGACCCTCGGAGAGGTCAAGCTGCCCAGTGTGATCACAGTGTGTCTTAGGCTAAGGGATCAGCTGCCAGCGGGGGAGAGGGATGCAAGGAGGCCTCCTGGGTCAGCAGAAAGAAACCTGGTTGGGATCCAGCTTTCAGCCCTGAATCCCGGACTGTCAGCCAGGCCATGGCTGTAGCTGCAAATAGGCAAGGCTGACCTAAGGTCTCATAGGACAAAGGGCACCCCGGGAGAGCTAGCCCCATGCCCCAGGGGCCTCCTCTTCTTAGGGATCTTTGGAGCTTTGCTGACCAAGGGACTAGAGGCTCACCTCCTATGCCATCACCCAGTTACTTCATCATGGTAGCCTGAAGCTCCTCTACTTGGTCCCTGAGCATTAATCGGTAAGCCCCAGAGTCATGAATAGTGACCTCTGGATGGCTTCCCCTTTCCCTAGGCACCAGGCCAGACAGGTAGGGGTCCCTGGAGACCTGGGTTGCTGGGGAGGGCCCAGTCCTGGGCCAGCCCCTGAGGGCTGGATTCTGGCTGCAGGCTCTCCACTCAGCCCAGCCACTCCCACCTGCAGAGTCCAAGGGTCTATGTGGTGGGCAGTTTGAGCTGGCTGGATACTAGACGGAGGCTGCACCTGAAACAGTTGGTGGGTGAGCAGCATGGGCTTTGAGGAGCTGCTGGAACAGGTGGGCGGCTTTGGGCCTTTCCAACTGCGGAATGTGGCACTGCTGGCCCTGCCCCGAGTGCTGCTACCACTGCACTTCCTCCTGCCCATCTTCCTGGCTGCCGTGCCTGCCCACCGATGTGCCCTGCCAGGTGCCCCTGCCAACTTCAGCCATCAGGATGCGTGGCTGGAGGCCCACCTTCCCCGGGAGCCTGATGGCACGCTTAGCTCCTGCCTCCGCTTTGCCTACCCCCAGGCTCTCCTCAACACCACGTTGGGTGAAGGGCAGAGCCGTGGGGAGCTGGAGGATGAACCTGCCACGGTGACCTGCTCTCAGGGCTGGGAGTACGACCGCTCAGAGTTCTCCTCCACCATTGCAACTGAGGTACTTACACCCAGAAGTTGAGAGACATGTGAGAGGGATAGGCCTACCATTGCCTTGGGTGGTTACTGTGTAGGCATTAGATATATTACTTTACCTCTTAGAGTCTCAGTTTACCAATCTGTAGATGGGGGCTATGAATACAAAGCACTTGTAGTTGATGGCTTGTAATAACAGGCTTATACACAAGAACTGTTATTATCATCACTAATTGGTAGGTGATTAAGGCAGGGAAGGGCTAAAGTGGCTTCAGGGAGTTGGGACAAAGAGCTGAGAAGGAAAGGAGAAACAGTAGAGAAACAGTAGAGGTCTCTTTTCTCCCTCCCTTTTTTCCAGTCCCAGGTTGGTATTTACATAATCCATCTGGAGGTGGAATGTGAGTGGAGGTAGAGTCTTCCTGGGAGGCAGCAGGATGAGGCCTGTCTTGGGAAGAAGCTGAGGCTGCAGGACTGGGGAGGGACAAAGTTTCCCACTCACTAAGCTGGCGTGAATTGTTGGGAGGTTTATTATCTGGCATGGAGGTACCAGAATGGCACAGTTGGCCTCAGAAGTCTCCAGGGTCTGGAGAGGAGGAGCTGGTACCTGCTGGAGAGGGGCTGATGTTCATAGGAGGTCCCTTTCTGCCTGTCCTTGCAGTGGGATCTGGTGTGTGAGCAGAAAGGCCTGAACAAAGCTGCGTCCACTTTCTTCTTCACCGGTGTGCTGGTGGGGGCTGTAGCCTTTGGATATCTGTCCGACAGGTGAGGTGAGGCTTTGGGCCAATAAGAAACAGGCTGGGGGAACTTTCTCCCACTAGCTGGGGTTGAGCCTAGTCTACCTGTGTCTTAGACCCTCCCTCCACAGGAAACTGACCCCGCATGACCCCTTTGCAGGTTTGGGCGGCGGCGTCTGTTGCTGGTGGCCTATGTGAGTACCCTGGTGCTGGGCCTGGCATCTGCAGCCTCCGTCAGCTATGTAATGTTCGCCATCACCCGCACCCTCACTGGCTCAGCCCTGGCTGGCTTCACCATCATCGTGATGCCACTGGGTGAGGCAGGCAAGAAACAGGCAGGACCCAGAGGGCTGGAAGAAGGCAGCTGTCACAGTGAGGCTGAGCCCATCTCAGCCTCACTAACCATCTGTCTCCTGCCCTGGTCCAGAGCTGGAGTGGCTGGATGTGGAGCACCGCACCGTGGCCGGGGTCCTGAGCAGCACCTTCTGGACAGGAGGCGTGATGCTGCTGGCCCTGGTTGGGTACCTGATACGGGACTGGCGATGGCTTCTGCTAGCTGTCACCCTGCCTTGTGCCCCAGGCATCCTCAGCCTCTGGTGAGGACTGCAGGCAGCTGGGGAGCACGAGATACAGGAAGTCAAAGATGGGATTGATCAGAGTCTGAGATTTGAAGACAGAGATTGAGAGATGAAGGGAAAGAAACAGAGTGACCAAGAGACAGAAAGAAACACAGAGAAAAAGCAACAGAGAGACAGAGATCAGTAGAAAGAAGATGGCAAGGAACCGGGAGAAAGAGAGAGACAGGGACAAAGACAGAGCCAAGCACAAACTGAGGCTGGCCCCTTGGAGAGGGGGGAGGTGGCAGGGCCAGCATGGTGGTGGGGAGCTCAGGCAAGAGAGTGGGAGGACAGGCAGGGTGGGCACTATATTGCCTCCCAAAGATGACTTGGCCTTGGGTGGCCTTTCTGGATATATCTGCATGTCTGTATCTCCTCCCTCCCATTCCCTCCTGCCACCCATGGGAGAAGTGGGTGGCTGGTGCTAGGAGCTGGTCTTGAGGGTAAGGACAATTCAGTTGAGTAAGGGACTCCCAGGCTATGGAGGACCTAGGTCTGAGCAAGGAAGTGTGGAAAGAGGTAGCTTTTATTATTTTTATTATTTTTTTGAGATAAGGTCTCGCTCTGTCACTGGAGTACAGTGGCACAATCACAGCTCACTGAAGCCTCAATCTCCCAGGCTCAAGTGATCCTCCTGACTTAGCCTCCTGAGTAGCTGGGACTACAGGTGTGTGCCACCACACCCAGCTAATATTTATTTTTTAATTTTTTGTAGAGACAGGGTCTCACCAGGCTGATCTTGAACTCCTGGGCTCAAACCCACCCTCCTGCCTTGACCTCCAAAATTGTTGGGATTTACAGGCATGAGTCACCACACCCAGCCCAGAGGTGGCTTTTACATTGGGCATTAAAAGATGAATAAGAGTTCATCAAATGTGGAGGACTTAGGGAGGAGATGATGTTCCAGGCTCTACATAAGCAAAAGCCTGGAAGCTGAGAGCCTGCTGTATGTCCAGGAAGATGTGGCTTAGGGTCATGACTTTCTGGCTGAAGGGCCTCCTGCCTATCCCTAGGTGGGTGCCTGAGTCTGCACGCTGGCTTCTGACCCAGGGCGGTGTGGAAGAGGCCCACAGGTACCTGCTCCACTGTGCCAGGCTCAACGGGCGGCCAGTAGGTGAGGACAACCTCAGCCAGGAGGTAAGGGTGAATGTGTGTGTGAACATGCATATATGTGTGTGGTGGGGGTGGGCTGTGTCAAGTGCCTCCCTCCCAGAGCCACCATATATGGCAGGAAAAGCCCCTGGCCCCAGTGGAGAGTTTGGAACTGTTTAGGATGTCCTACCTGGCTCCAGTGGGCCACATGCATCATTCGAGACCCACTCTTCTCAGCTGCTGTGTGCATCTCCACCCCCACCACTGTGGATGGAATAGAAGGGGCGGGGGAGAGCATTGTGTCCCATTGAGACCACATAACCAACTCCGATGTTACAGCCTCACTTCCTTCCCTACCAGGCTGTGAGCAAAGTGGCCGCCAGGGAACGGGTGGTCCGAAGACCTTCATACCTAGACCTATTCCGAACGCAACAGCTCCGACACATCTCACTGTGCTGCATGGTGGTGTGGTGAGGAGGAGGCTGCATTGGGTCTGGTGTGGGTGTGGTGGGAGAGAGGAGCGGACTCCAGGCTAGTGCTGAGTATGGGAAGGGCTCTGAGGGACAAGTTGAGTGTAACTGTGGAGGAGAGGAGAATAAGCCTCTGTGGGCAATCTGCCCAGCGAAGTCAGAAAATGAAGCAGGCAGCAGAGACGCATGAGTTCAAGTTCAGACTCCCACCTCCTTACTTGGACAGAGACAGATCACTTAGCCACTCCGAGCCCCAATGTTCCTTCTGTAAAATGGGCTGTTGTCAGTTCCATGTCAGAGTTGCTGTGAAAATTAGGGTAAAGGAACTTTGACCAACGGCAGGCGCATGCTGCACCCTCAGAGGTCATCATGGATGTCAGGGAAGGTCCTTGCGGGGAGGAGGTGGGAAGTGGAGATCGAAGGAGATTGTCCCTGTAAAAGGCCAAGTCTTCCTGAGAAGAGAGGACAAACAAAGAGGGATGGGAAGGAGGGTACCCCGAGTGGCACTGTGACTCCTTTCAGGTTCGGAGTGAACTTCTCCTATTACGGCCTGAGTCTGGATGTGTCAGGACTGGGGCTGAACATATATCAGACGCAGCTGTTGTTTGGGATGGTGGAACTGCCCTCCAAGCTGCTGGTCTACCTGTCGGTGAGCCACGCAGGACGCCACCTCACGCAAGCCGGGACACTGCTGGGCACCAGCCTGGCGCTAGGCACTAGACTGCTAATGTCCTCTGGTGAGCCCAGGCCCATAGGTTCTGCCCACTCAAGAAGCCGGGCCAGGAACCCCGCCCACTCCCCCGGAGACCCCACCTTCTGGCCAAGAACCCACTCCTCCCCCAGTTCCCCGCCCTTACCCAGTGAGCTCAGACTTAAGTTCCAGCCCACTCTGGAGACTCTGCCCTCTATCCAGGAAACCCTCCCTCTTCACAGCCCTCTCACTACCTGAACCCCCTTCCCTCCAGACATGAAGTCCTGGAGCACCGCCCTGGCGGTGATAGGAAAAGCTTTTTCTGAAGCTGCCTTCACCACTGCCTACCTGTTCACTTCGGAGTTGTACCCTACTGTGCTCAGGTGAGGGAGCCTACAACCGACCTGGGTGTGGGGCTTGTTAGTCATGTGTCTTAACCAACACTTCTACATACACACACCACAACCTGGTCTCTCTCACTCATTTTTTTTTTTTTTAATTTTTGGTAGAGATGGGGTATTGCTGTATTACCCAGACTGGTCTCAAACTCCTGGCCTCAGGAGTGATCCTCCCGCCTCAGCCTCCAAAAGTGCTGGTGTTACAGGCATCAGCCACCACACGCAGCCTCTCACTCATTCTCTATACTACACCCAGAATACAGAGCTAATCAGGGCACTCTGTGTTTACCCCAGTCTTGGAGAAGACAGGGCCTCTTATCTTCTGTACTAGGTGACCCTGAGCCAAGTCAGACATCCTCTCTGGGCCTTTTAAGAAAACAGCCCCAAGGCTGGGCACTGTGGCTCATGCCTGTAATTCCAGCACTTCAGGAGGCCAAGGTGGGCAGGTACCTTGACATCAGGAGTTTGAGACTAGCCTGACCAATATGGTGAAGCTCCATCTCTACTAAAAATACAAAATTAGCTGGGCGTGGTGGCACATGCTTGTAATCCTAGCTACTGAGGAGGCTGAGGCCGGAGAAATCACTTGAACCTGGGAAGTGGAGGTTGCAGTGAGATGAGATCGTGCCATTGCACTCCAGCCTGGGTGAGAAACTCCTCAAACAAATTAAAAAATTTTAAATAAAAAATAATAATAAAGAAAACAGCCCCATGAAGCCCCATTCTGCCTACCCCCATCGCATTCACCCCTGGAAGGCAGAGATGCCCCTAAGGACTGTCCCAAAGGGAACCCCTTGAAAGGCCCAGGGCTCTTTCAGCTAGCTCTTGGCAGGTGGGAAGAGGAAACTTCTAGGCTTCTGGTCAAGTTAAGAAAAAGCTTTGTCTCCTCAAACAAACTACTGACCTTCTTCCTTCCACATCACCCTTTCCTTATCCCAGTCTGGTTACTTTTCTTCTCTTTCAGTGGTACCTGATTGGTACTCTGTCAGAATGGCGGCCCCATCCTCTGGTGGGTGCTGGCTTGGGGCCTTCTGGCCTGAAGGTGGGTGGGAAAACAAACTGAAAGAAGTCCTAGTTTCCTTAGCTATATGGAGAGTAGGGGGCATCAGCGTATGCCTGCCCTTGAGGGGAGCCCTGTGGGGCAAGACCCCAGGTAGGTGTGAACACCATCTGCCTCCCTCATTCTCTTTCTCTGAACAGGCAGACAGGGATGGGGCTGACTGCACTGGTGGGCCGGCTGGGGGGCTCTTTGGCCCCATTGGCGGCCTTGCTGGATGGAGTGTGGCTGTCGCTGCCCAAGCTTGTTTATGGGGGGATCGCCCTGCTGGCTGCCTGCACCGCCCTCCTGCTGCCAGAGACAAGGCAAGCACAGCTGCCAGAAACCATCCAAGACGTGGAGAGAAAGAGGTGTGTGCACAGGACTGTGTCTGTGTATGGGTGAGCACATGCAGATGGATGCAGGTACTCAGATACCTGACACCTTAGGATTCAGATGGGAAAATATATCTGCGCATGTGTACTTGGTGCATGTATGTGAGTGTGCACAAGTGAGTGTTTCAAGGTGCATGACCCATGATACGTAAACTGTAAGCATAAATGTATATATGAGTCCATACGTGTGTATGAACACAAATGCATAAGGTCGTTCAGAAAGATGTGTATGTGTGCACACTCAAGTATGCCTACACATCAGGGGTGTGTACAAGCATATGTGTGAATCACTTATGGGAGTACAGGTGTTTGTATACCAGGAGCTGGGGAGAGCCCTGGGACAGCCCTGATGGGGCAGGCTGGGGAGGCAGGCTCAGGGATTAAACCCCATCATCGCCTGTGACTCCTTCCTAGAGCCCCAACCAGTCTCCAGGAGGAAGAGATGCCTATGAAGCAGGTCCAGAACTAAGTGGGAGCAGAGGCAGGCCCTCCACAGAAGCTCTGCAGCAGGAGCTGGGAGACCAGAAGCGCAGGTCCTACAACTCAGGCTGGGAGTATCAAACCCTCTGCCAAGGGCTGGAGTTGCCACCGGTACCTACTCCCTGTGCTCATCCAACACTGATTATTTGGCTTCCAGGAACAGTCGACTTCCCAGAATGCAGTGGGCTGCTGGGCACCCCTCTCATGGCTGGGGAGGATTCTGTAAATAAAGGTGCCCCTTGGGTTGGGGCAGTGGTAAGGAGCTGTCGGAAGAGCCCTGGATAGGAAGCCACCGAGTCTGCCCTGGGCTTTGATGACGGCTTCACCATTAACTTGCTGTGTGACCTTGGGCATGTGGCTTTCCCTCTCTGAGCCTCAGTGTGTTCATCTACCAAATGGATAATGAAGCCTCTTGGCAGGCCCTACCATGCCAAATGAGTTGCTATGCTCAAATAACTTGCTGAATGATGTGCTTCTTCTAGAGATGGTGCTAAGGAAAGGACTATCATATGAGACTTCTGGTACCAGTGGGGCTGGTGGGCATGCTGTCTACTGTGTGATGCTAGGACTGCCAATGCCAGCCCAAGGGGACAAAAAGAACAGAGCTCTTTGTTCTCATGGCTGGCCCTGCTACCGCCGAGGCAACCTGCAGGGCAATGCATGCCCCCCCCCCAACTCCCACACAATCCCCATCCTCCAACCCACTGGTCTCATGCCCAAAGAAGAGTTGAAGGCATGGGAGCCAATATTTTATTGGAGACACCAGAGAGGCTGAAATTCAATAAACACAAGTTTTATGAGTACCTTGAAGCTCCAGAATTTGCTGGGGAAAAGGGTTGGGATGGCCAGGAGGAGGATACCCTTCAAAACGAGCTATTCCCTAACCAGATAGAAATGGGAAAGGGAAAAATTGGCAGAGAAAGTGTAGACTCTGGCCTACCATGGAGCCTCTGACCAGGCCCCCAGGATCCCACTTTCCCCAACCTGCATGGGACTGGAGATTTCTGTAGCTCCCATTGGACCATGAGGGGAATGATGAGAAGAATGATGAGTTAGGGTGACCTTTTCTGTGAGCGTCTCAATTCAATTTTATCTCCACTGGGTCATAGATGTAGCAGCCCACATCGCCAATGTTCACACCTGAGAGAGAGAGCCCTATCACCATAGGCCTTGGGTCTGTGCGTGCAGGGTTCAGGGCTGGAGGTAACTGGGAGGGGCCGGGGTATGCTTAACCACAACCAAGTTGTCCACACATCCCCATAGCCCATGTACATGCCATACTTTAGGCCTGGCGTCTGGGGTGGGGTTGCCCACCTTTGGGGCCAAACAGGTAGCCGTAACAGGGGATGTGGCAGTAGGGGACTCCATCATGCTGAGACACAAAGAGAAAGAGAGCTGTCTCAGCCTAGTTTTCTTCCCATCTCCAGCCCCCTCCCAACATAACCACCCATCCCTGCCCTTCTCACCTCAGCATGACTCCCAGCAGTCAGGGTCTTGCGGCAACGCTGACACCTCAGACAGGGTCGGTGCCAATTTCTCCCTAATGACATCACCTTCTCAGCTGGTGGTGGAGAGAACTGATAGTTCTTCCATTTTAGGGGCAGAGTAGGGAGACCCACATGCCTTGGATCACCTCCTTGCCCCTTGCTACCCACCCTGTATCCCCCTCTCCAAGCTTTCCATTGTCACTTACCAAAATAGACAGGTTCCCCACAGCCAGGGCACAGCGACGTCTCCCCAGTGAATGTCTTCATATGCGGAAGGCCTTTAAGGGGAAGAGGCGCTGGCTAGGTCTGAGGTGGAGATGAGGGCCTAAGCAGGGCTCACCAACACCTGCCTGCATATGGCTCTGTCCTCTTCCAAAAGCCATGCTCATTCCAGAATGCCCCACCCAGGCACCCAATAATCTGCATTTCACAGGCCAGAGATGAGCCCCCTTTGACCCCACCTCCTGCCCATCCCTATGTGTATCATGGACAACCTGCTTCCTTCCCACCATTGCAACCCTGTCAGCAACTCAATCTTCAGGAAACTTGAGCTGATACAGGAGCTGGCCAGGGCAAGGGTGTCAGGTGTTGGGGAGCACAGTGTCACTGCCTACTCCAGAGTATGGGGGGAAGGAACAGGGACCAGAGGAGAAAAGTTGGAGAATGTAAGGGGCTGGCCTTATCCCAATGACCCCTCTCCTGTAGGTCATTCCTTCCATGGCCCTGGCCTGGGGGAGGCCTAAGTTCCTGGTCAGCCTTGCCTCTGACTAGCTTTGTGAAAGGACAAGGTCATTTGCCCTGTCTGGACCTCACTTTCCTCACCTGTAAAATGGGAGGAGAGGGGATAATGCCATCAGCCCAATTTACTCCCTTTTTTTTTTTGAGACAGAGTCTTGCTCTGTTGCCAACTGGAGTGCAATTGTGAGATCTCAGCTCACTGCAACCTCTGCCTCCTGGGTTCCAATGATTCCTCCTGCCTCAGCCTCCCAAGTAGCTAGGATTACAGATGCCAGCCACCACGTCCAGCTAATTTTTGTACTTTTAGTAGAGACGGGGGTTTCACCATGAGGGCCAAGCTGGTCTGGAACTCCTGACCTTGTGATCTGCCTGCCTTGGCCTCCTAACAGTTTACCTCTTAACTCAGCAGCTGACATGAGGAAATACAAAAAAAAAAAAAAAAAAAAAAAAAGGAGCAGGGGAGTAGACAGAGAAGACTTTGCCAAGAACAAAGGTAGTGAGAATGTGAAGCAGAGGGTTGGGTAGGAGACTTCCACTTGGCCCACCCCCTGCTCCAGCTTGGGGAAGGGTTGGGAGGAGGACTGGGAGGAGCTGAGCTCAGCCTCACTTACTTTTCTTGCCTTGAGGGCGGCCAGTCCTTGGCCTGGGAGGGCTGAAGCTGCTGGGGCTGAGAGGAGTGGTGCTGCCAGGGCTGGGAGTCGGGGGATTGTACAAGTAGGAGCCCACACCACCAATGTTCACCCCTGAGGAGAGAATAGGGGAGGTCAGGCTTGAGCCTGACCCAGCCTTGTGGCTCCCAGCCACAAGGAGGCTTCTGCTGACCCCTGGCCCCTTTCAGGCTGGTACTTACCCCTGGGTCCAAAGAGAGCCCCATAGCATGGCTTGTGGCAGTATGGCCTCCCGTTGTGCTGGGCACAGGTAGAGGAAAGTGGGTTACTCAGGGCCAACAGGAGCCATGCCCCACAGGCCTTCCCTCCAGACAGGCTGCCAGGTGTGTCTGTTCACTGGCTGAGTCTGGTGGGCCTAAGAGGGGTGGGGGATGGGCTGGCATACCAGAATTTCCACTGTGGTCAAGGGAGGAAGAGCAAGAGCAGCTCAGGAGGTGATGCTGCTTCCCACCCTTCCTGACCCACAAAGCCATGGGGTCCACAGTCACAGGTTCCCAAAATCCTGGCTGGTGTGCAGTCCACCAGGTGGGCACCCTAGGGGTTGGCTACTGAGGTTCCCTTTGGCAGGCCTCCAGGGCTGAAATTGGGGGCTGGTCCCTGGGGGGTGGAGAGGCAATGATGTAAACAGATCAGTGCTCCCTGGCCAGACCTTACCTCTGCATGCCCGCCAGGGGACAGGACGCTGTGGCAGTGCTCACATTTCAGGCAGAAGCGGTGCCAGTTCTTGCCGAGGGAGCTCACCTTCTCAGCTGTGGAGGACAAAGTGGAACAAAGCTGCGAGGAGACTGTCCAAGCGTGGGGCCCCTCCTTTCCCCCTTCAGCCCTCTAGGGAATTAGCTTGGCCTGCCCTGCTCCCTGGAGATGAGTGTCTCCAGGAGGCCAGCTTCATCCTGCTCCGATGCCATACTCCCCACAGAACTCTCAGAGGAGGGGAGAAGACCTGAGTGAAAGCAGGTGGTGGTGCAGAGACTACCAGCCGCTGCAGGTGGAAAAAGGTGTCTGGGACCACACCGTGGCCAGCTCTCCCGTCCTCAGGGAAACCAGCGGCTCTCATTTGCCCCATCTTCGCCCCTTCCTCAGCCCGGCCCTCACCGAAGAAAACAGGTTGCTGGCAACGCGGACAGGTCCAGCTCATAGCTCGGCTCCAGGCAGCGGCGCGCGGCACACAGTAGGTACCGCGGCTACGGCTCAATTCCGACCCCTCCGCTGGCTCCACCCACCGCTCAGCTTTGAGCCTCACTGGGCTGAATCCACGGTTCCTGGGCGCTCATTGGCTACCAGAAATTTAGAACCACTCCATTTGAGAAACAGGCTATTTCGCTGTTACTTCAAAGAGCATTAAAGGCTCGGTCAGGCCCAGCTGTGGCGGATCACGCCTATAATCCCAGGACTTTGGGAGGCTGAGGCAAGGGATCACCTGAGGTAGGGAGTTCAAGATTAGCCTGACCAACATGGAGAAACCCCGTCTCTACTAAAAACAAAAAATTAGCCGGGCTTGGTGGCGCATACCTGTAATCCCAGCCACTCAGGAGGATGAGGCAGGAGAATCGCTTGAACCCGGAAGGTAGAGGTTGTGATGAGCCAAAATCACGCCATTGCACTCTAGCCTGGGCAACAAGGGCGAAACTCCGTCAAAAAAAAAAAAAAAAAAAAAAAAGCCTCAGTCAGACCCATGGGGAGGAGAGAGGATCCTGAAGCCGAGTGGACTCCAGACTGGGAAGGCAAATGTGCAACGAAGACACCTGGATGGGGAGCACTGCTAGTTTCTGGACAGGTAAAGACAGGAAAAATGTCCACAGTGCAGACACCAGGAAAACACTACTCTCTCCAAAGCGAGGGAGTAGGCATTCTTTGAAATGCTTTAATTCCTCTTTGGCAGTATAGGAAGTGGTTGAAAGCAACGAAATCTGGAGTCCATCTCTGGTATCCTACTCTTGGTTTCAGGCAAATTACTTAACCTCCCTCTCTGCCTCCATTTTCTCATCTGTGCAATGAGCATAAGTCTCTACCTAACATGATTGTTATGAGAATTAAATAGGTTAATACACATAGAGTGCCCAAACAGCGCCTGGCATATAAATGCTATAAAAACTATAGCTATCACTATGATGGATCCCTTAATGAACTCAAGACTTGGTTTGGAGGCCTCAGAACATGGTCTGTATACAATTATTTGCTTGTAAAGCTTAAGGCGGCTGGGCACAGTGGCTGACATCTGTAATCCCAGCACTTTGGGAAGCTGAAGTGGGTGGATCACCTGTGGTCAAGACCAGCCTGGCCCATATGGTGAAACCCCATCTCTACTAAAAATACAAAAATTAGCTGGGTGTGAGGGCGGGTGCCTGTAATTCTAGACACTTGGGAGGCTGAGGCAGGAGACTCTCTTGAACCAGGGAGGTGGAGGTTGCAGTGAACTGAGATCGCACCATTGCACTCCGGCCTGGGTGACAGAGCAAGACTCCATCTCAAAATAAATAAATAAATAAAAATGAACACCAACTACATATTTCTAATCTGGTTTAGGATTTTTAAATATTTGTGCTTTTTAATTAATTAATTTGAGACAGGGTATCATTCTGTTGCCAAGTTGGAATGTAGTGGTGCATCATAGCTCACTGCAGCCTCCACCTCCCAGGCTCAAGCGATCCACTTTAGCCTCAAATAGCTGGGTCTACATACGCATTCTACCTCACCTAGCTAATTTTGGTGGTTGAAGCAATCCACCTGCTTAGGCCTCCTTAAGTACTGAGATTATAGGTATGAGCCACCAGGCACAGAAAAATATTGGTTAAAAGTAGCTCAATAGTGCTTCAAAGGACATTTCAATAAATTTAAATCCACAGAATGGAAGAAAATATTTGCGTATCTGGTAAGGATCTAGTAACCAGATTATATAAATAACTCTTATAATGCAATAACAAAAAGACAACCCAATTAAAATTGAGCAAAGAATTTGAATAGACATTTTTCTGGAGATATACAAATGGCCAATAAGCACATGAAGAGATGCTGAATATCATTAGTCATTAGGGAAATGAAAATCAGGACCACAATGAGATACCATTTTACATCCACTAGATGGCTATAATTAAGAAGACAAACGTTGGCAATAATGCGGCAAAATCGGATGTCTCATACATTGTGATGGTAACATATAATAGTGCAGCCAAACTGGAAAACAGTCTGGCAGTTCCTCAAAAAGTTAAACATAGTGTTACCATATGACCCAGCAATTCCACTTCTAGGTATATACCCAAGAGAAATGAAAATATATGTCTACACAAAAACTTATATATGAATGTTCATAGCAGTACTATTTACAATAGTCAAAAAGTAGAAACAGCCCAAAAGTTCATCAACTGATAAATGTATAAACACAATGTAGTATAACCATGATAGAATATTGCTCAGCCATAAAAAAGAATGTAATACTGATGCATGTTACAACACAGATAAACCATAAAAACATTAAGCAAGAAAAGCAAGACACAAAAGGCCACATATTGTATGATTCAATGCATGTGAAATATTTAGAATAGGTAAATATATAGAGACAGACAGTAGATTAGTGGTTGGCAGGGGCTGTTGAGGGGAGGTGGAATTGGAGATGTCTACTAATGGGTTCAAAGCTTCTCTATGGGAATTAGATAACAGTAATGTTTGTACAACCTTGGGAATATACTAAAGATCATGAACTTTAAAAAGGTGAATTTTATAGTATATGAGTAATGTCTTAACAACAACAATAATAGAACCTGAAGAGAACTACTTTAAAGAACAGACGCTGTGGCTCACACCTGTAATCCCAGCACTTTGGGAAGCTGAGGCAGGTGGGCCACTTGAGCCTAGGAGTTATAGAGACCAGCCTGGGCAACATGGTGAACCCTGTCTCTACAAAAAATCAGCTGGGCATGGTGGCATGTGCCTGTGATCCCAACTACCTGGGAGGCTGAGGTGGGAGAATTGCCTGAGCCCAGGAAGTTGAGGCTGTAGTGAGCTGAGATCATGCCGCTGCACTCCAGCCTGGGCGAAGAGCTGGAGGGAAGAGCTGATAAACTTGTGCCAGTATCCCAGCAGAGGAGACAATAATAAATCCCTCCATGAAGGATGGAGGTAAAACAGTTTTCTTAAGTTTCTTTGTTACATCAAATCTGTTGAGAAAGGGCTTGCAACAAATTCATTGTTGGACTGCAGTGCTGTGCTCTGCTGGGTGAAAGGAGCACTGTTTTAAGTGTCTCCTCTTGGCCTTCATCTGGGTAACGGGGTAGGGACTGGGGTCTATGAACTTCCATTTGATAGTCCTGTTTCCTGAATCGTCTCCATCAGCACTTTTTACTTATAACACTTGTTTTAGCATCCTTGTTGAGTTCAAAGGGTGGAAGCCTTGCATACTGTAACAAGCTTTTCTATACTTTCTCATTATTTGTTTCTTGTTTTAGGGAATATTTCATGATCTTTAGTTTTATAACTGTTTCTTGAAGGGCTGCTTCTTTAACAAATTTGAAAAATATTAGTTTTAGCTTCCACTGAATTTACTGTCTTGTTTCTGCCTTTTTTTTTTTTTTTTGAGACAGAGTCTCACTCTGTTGCCCAGGCTGGAGTGCAGTGGCATGACCTTGGCTCACTGCAACCTCTGCCTCCCGGGTTCAAGCAATTCCCCTGCCTCAGCCTCCCAAGTAGCTAGAACTATAGGTGCATGCCACCATGCCTGCTAATTTTTGTATTTTTAGTAGAGACGGGTTTCACCATGTTGGCCAGGCTGGTCTTGAACTCCTGACCTCGTGATCCAACTGCCTCCCAAAGTGCTGGGATTACAGGCGTGAGCCACCGTACCCAACCTATATGGGATATTTTGATACAGGCATAAAATGTGTAATAATTACAGCAGGGTAAATGAGATATCCATCACCTCAAAAATTTATCCTTTGTGTTATTATAAACAATCCAATCATACTTTTATTTTAAAATGTGCTATTAAATTATTATGGAGTAGTCACCCTGTTGTGCTATCACATACAATATCTTATTCATTCTCTGTATTTTATTGTACCCATCAACCAACCTAACCCCTACCAACTATCCTTCTCAACTTCTGGTAACTGTCATTCTGTTTTCTATCTCCAGAAATTCAACTGTTTTTTCAGTTCCCACAAATAAGCGAGAACATGCAGTTTGTTTCTGTGCCTGGGTTATTTAACTTAACATAACAACCTCCAATTCCATCCACATTGTTGCAAATGACAGGATCTCATTCTTTTTTATGGCTGAATAGTACTCCATAGTGTATATGTACCAGTGTACATATACAGTGTACAGTGTATGAGGGTTCCCTTTTCTCCACATTTTCTTTATCCATTCATCTGTTGATGAACATTTGGGTTCTTCCAAATCTTGTCTATTATGAATAGTGCTGCAATAAACATGAGAGTGCAGATGGCTTTTTTTTTTTTTAGACAGGGTCTCACTCTGTCACCCAGACTAAGTGCAGTGATGCAATCACAGCTCACTACAGCTTCAACCTCCTGAGCTCAAGTGATCCTCTCACCTCAGCCTCCCAAGTAGCTGGAACTACAGGCACATGTTACCACATCTGGCCAATTGTGTGTGTGTGTGTGTGTGTGTGTGTGTGTGTGTGTGTGTGTGTGT